CATGTGTAGCACTTGCCAGTGCTAATGGAAATTGACCCTTAACGTCTTTTTCTGTGACTAATGAGAATAATAGAAGGGAGAGCCATTTCTTTGGGCTTTTCTATTACTCAGGAAATAGGAATATAACACTGAAACCTCACTTCCCATGAGAACATCGCAAAAAGGAGATAGTGACGCAGACATTATTGTTAATCTGATTGTGTGGCAGGGCTGAGATGATGGGGATAGTATGAGGGATGTTTTGTCACTTAGAACTCAAAATACTATCCCAGATAAGGACAGTGACAGGGTAGCAAGAAAGATGGGAAAATGATCTCTAGTTATTTGTTGATCCCAGCCAGAGCAGGCCAGAAATTAGGAGTGAGAAGAATACAAATTAATTTAGTGTCTGTGTCAGGCACTCGGGATACAATAGAAAATGCTGTACAATCAAGCCAGCAAGGACACTTCACTGTGATCAGCGTTGTGACATAAAGGAAGTACCTGACCCAGCCTTGGATCAGGGAAAAATTCCCTAAAAGATGAGTAAGAGCCAGAAGGATAGACCAGGGAAGACTGTATCCAACAAATGGAACAAAGTCTAGGAGGAGAAAGTGGCACATCTGGAAAGTAAAAATAAAAGGGCACTTGGTATGAAGTCCTTTTGAAGTGGGATCATGTCTGAGAGACAGGCATAGGACCAGAATCGTTTATGCGGTGTATCAAAATAAGGGACAATGGAGACATTTCTGTTAATAAAACCCAGAGCCCTTAGACCATGAGGTGGTGAGGAGCTTTGTCTTAGTCTGGTGTGGCCACAAGGAAATGGCTACTACCTACTTTCCTTGCCAGGCCTATAGGCTAGGCTAGAGCTAACATGGGGGTAGAAGGGTGAGAAGAGCCAGCCTAGAGATTAAGAGTTTGTTAAAGTTTTAAGTCTCCCTTTCCCAGACATGAGGGCTTTTTTGTTTCCCAGGACAGTATCAGAGCTGCTTTCACATTCCTTATAACACCCAAAGCTCTAGGTCAGAAGCTGCTATGGTTGTCATATCATTTGTTTCTGGGTTGTACCCTACAGTTCATAATACACCTTTGGGCTCAGGTCTCAAAATGTATTTGTCACTTTCTCTTTTAATCCATGAGTGATAGTCTTCAGGTACCACACACATGGTCAGTTTTGATTTAAACATCACCAGTATTTCACAGTATTTTGTGAATTTTGTTAACGACAGTGCTAAAGGGAAGTGACAACAGAATGTAACAATCATGGTTGAGCCAGAAATTCTCTTCAGAGGGACCAGCAGGAAGGAACTTCTCGGTACAAGGCTAAATTGTGCAGGTTAGTCAGCAAGAGAAAGACATCATTCAAAAAACTTAAAATGTTGAAGGAATAACGACATTACCAAACCAAATCTGTATGGAAATCTAGGATCCTGGTTATAGAGTTGTCATGAGGATTAAAGGAAACAAGTATTGTTCCATTGGGACACATAGGCTTCTCCTAACCAGTGACAGTGGCAGAAGGACTAACTGCCCATGTTTGGAGAGTGAGGAAGAGGGATACTATCAATTGGAAAAGATGGCAAAAATATAAAAATAGATGGCAGGATCTACTCAGCTCTTGTTTTCTTCCTTTTCCTCAGAGAAAGGCCCAAGGAAACTTAGGGTAGGACAGACATTAACTAGGAATAACTCGTTAGGTTCCATTGATTCAGTTCTAACTCAGCAACCCTTTGTACAGCAGAACGAAATACTGGCCAGTCCTGCACCATCCTCACAAGTCTTTGGTTCCACCTGTCATTGCAGCCACTGTGTTAATCCATCTCGTTGAGGGGCTTCCTCTCTTTCACTGACCCTCTGCTTTACCAAACATGATCTCCAGGGACTGGTCCCTCCTGGTAACAAGTTCAAAGTACATGAAATGAAATCTAGCCATCCTCCCTTCTAAGGAGCATTTGAGCTGTACTTTTCCCAAGATAGATATGGTCATTCTTCATGATAGATACATTCATATCTTCCATAATAAATTCAGTATTCTTCATCAACACCATAATTGAAATGTACCAGTTCTTCAGTCTTCTTTATTCAGTCTGTAGCTTTCACATGCACATGAGGTAACTGAAAATACCATGGCTTGGGCCAGGTACACCTGAGTCCTTAAAGTGACATCTTTGGTTTTTTACACTATAAAGTCGTTTGCAATAGGTTTGCCCAATACATTCATCTTCTGATTCCCTGACTGCTGCTTCCATGGGTGTTGATTGTGATCCAAGTAAATGAAGTCCTCGACAACTTCAGTATTCTTCTTCATGATGCTTATTGGTCCAGTTAGGATTTTTCATGTTATGAAGTCCATACATCATCAAAGTAAGTGCTGTTCACTATCAGCAAGCAAGGTTGTCATCTGCATATTGCAGGTTGTTAATGGGTCTTCCTCCAATCCTGATGCCTATAATTCTGACACAACCTTCCCTAATTTTAAACCATGCAATACCCCCTTCTATTAGAACAACTGCCTCTTGGTCTATATACAGGTTCTCCATGAGCACTATTAAGCGTTAATTAAACTGACAAATGAGTGATGGAGTAGTAAAAACAAAAGGGAAATATTTCTGTAGAGATTTCTGACATCTGTTAATAACATGTAATAGGTTTGTTGCTAAGGGCTTTGTAGGAGCTCTGGTGGTGCAGTGGTTAAAGCATTCAGCTGCTAACCAAAAGGATGGTGGTTTGACCCACCAGCTCTTCCATGGGAGAAAGATGAGGCAGTGTGCTTCCATAAAGATTTACATCCTCAGGAACCCTATGAGGCAATTCTGGTGTGTCCTACAGGGTTGCTACGAGTTAGAATCAGCAATGGCAATGGGTTTGGGAAGGGCTTTGTACATATGTATTCATTACCACTTCAACACTTATTTTGCAGATGAGGAAATGAAGGCTTGGGGTCATGACCTACTGGAGGTCAGACTTTGAACCCAGTCAGGAGGAATCCAGAACCTTTCTGGGGAACCACTTCTCTATATTGTCCGTGAAAAAGTGAATAGAAAAAAAAAAAAAAGATATTGCTGAAATAGGCAAATTACAAAAGAATAAATGCTAATGAATTATGAATAAATGTTCAACCTCACTGGAATTGAAATTTACACTAAAGTAACAGTTGAGATGCCACTCCCCCCGCCCCAAAGTGACCATGATTTAGGGAAATTGGAGTTCTAATGCTGCTGGTGAGGTGACTAGATAGGATCTCTGGCAATCAATACCAAAAGCCTTAAGTATTGCCTTTTATCTTTGAAACTGCCTGGAAATGTATACAAAATCTTAAAAGCTGTAAAAAGAGATGTCTCTTAAATGATAGCATTCATGATACATTAAGTAAAACTTACAAGATGGTATGTACATTATGATCCCATGATGAAGAAAGCTATGCATTAAAAATACTGGAAATACATCCTCTCAAAATGCTGTAGTTATCACTGGGTGATGACATTATAGGTGATTTAACTTTTGTCTTTTGCTTTTCTGTGTTTTCAAACTTTTTCTATAATACATGCCTAATACTCTTAAGGATGAGGGAGTTAAAAAGGGAATGGAAGCTCAGGATAGGCAAGAAAATTAAAAGTATTTGCTTTCTATAACCTCTCTGCTCCATCAGGGGACTCTGATCCTCAATTTCCTAGTGGTAAAATGACAGTGGCAGGCTCACCCATCTCAATACATTCTATTCAAAAAAAAGGTCTTCTGCAAATTATAAAACCCTGTGTAAGTTATTTGTATGAAAGAGATTTATGGTTGAGAAAACCAATAGTGTTGAAGTAGAGACCTCTGTTCTTCTTAGCACTTTGCCATGAATTCTGCAGCTGTTAGCAAGGCACCTGACAACTTTGAACCCTCTGTTTGAAGGAGCTGAAGTAGATGATCTATTAGGATCAAAACTTCTGCAGTCTATGCTCTTATGAAATATAGGGTATTGGTATGTGGTGGACGTCAAAAGTAATTATTTTCTCCTTCACCAGCCTGTGTGGAAGAAAAGCTATTCATGCCTTGCCTTTCTGCTCAGGGCCTCCTAGTTTCTTTTGGTACAGAGGCAGAACAGGGGGTAAGAATGTTTGCTTTAAATGGATATTGTATTGATTTTAAAAAGTGTTGTTGGATGCCGTTGAGTCATTTCCGACTCAGTGCACAGCAGAACGAAACACTGCCTGGTCCCGCGCCAGCTCCACAATCCTTGCTATACTTGAGCCCATCACCGCAGCCACTGTGTCAATCCATCTCATTGAGGGCCTTCCCCTCTTTCGTCGACCGTCCACCTTACCAAGCATGACATCCTTCTCCAGAGAGTGGTTCTTTCTGACAACATGACCAAAGTAGGTGATAAGAAGTCTGGCCATTCTTGCCTCTAAGGAGCATTCCGGCTGTACTTCCTCCAGGACAGATTTGTTAGATCTTTTAGTCCATGATACTTTCAGCATTCTTCGCCAGCACCACAACTCAAAAGCATTCGCTCTTCTTTGGTCTTGCTTATTCATAGTTCAGCTCTAACATGCATATGAGGTGATTGAAAATACATACCATGGCCTGTGTCAGGCAAACCTTAGTCCACAAGGAGATATCTTTGCTCCTCAGCACTTGAAAGAGGTCCTTTGCAGCCGATTTGCCTAGTGCTATACGTTGTCTGATGTCCTGACTGCTGCTTCCCTTGGCATCAATTGTAGAACCAAGCAATGTGAAGTCTTTGACAACTGCAATCTTTTCCCCATTTATCGTAATGCTGCTTATAGGTCCAGTTGTGAGGATTTTTGTGTGCAAATTAGGCAAGGCACTTATTATCTGTTTCCTACATAGCCCTTTTACCTCATTTCCTTAGGATGCAGCTAACCCTGTCCAGCTGAGAGGACTGGGTATTTGAATCAAATCTGACTTTGGTCTCTCCAAGCTCTCTTGTGAACATGTTTGCTTCTCTTGCCTCAGAAAGTGCATTGTCTGCATGTTGGCATAGCAAGGGGAAATGCCAATTAGACAACTTCCCATCCCGACTTGGAGAGCATTTCTGTGATCTCAAGAGGAAGGAAAACCCAGTAGGAGGCCTTATGTATACCCACCCACCTCTTGCTTTCTGATGGGCCAGAACCAGACAATGCTGTTCAATAGCTTTATCACTTAGAGCTGCCTTGTTGGCTAGCACAAGTGATCATGAAGTGGTTCCAAAGATCCAAAGGGCCATGAGTTGTTTTGTTTTTTAACAAATGTTTCTATTGAGAACTTGCTAAGAGAGGAGGGAAAGGCCATGGCAGTCTCCCAGGATCTTGCTCAGTCTACAGGCCTAAGCTTGGTCCTTTGGCAGTGAGTGCTAAGGATATCCATCTGGTGCAATACGGACCACTCCCAAAGAGGAGGAAGAGTCCTGATTCTGATTGACACATGAGGCATATGTGTTTAAAGAGGCTACTTAAACCACAAAGCAACCCCACATGCCCCCTCAATTTTGTGACTTCGGTTGGTGGTACAACCCCAGAGACAGGCTATCATCATTTCCTGACACTTTGTGGCCCAGGAAATAAAAGCTGGAAACACTTATTCCCTGATTTCTTCCCACAAATCCTTCTCCATTCCCACAGCACATCTCCATTCACATCACATTCCCTATTCCTGAATGAATGAATTCAAAATTTCAAAGCAGAACTTTAGAACTCAAATTTTATTAAAATACATCTTGCATTGCATTCTAATACTAAACCAGCTGAGGTATATACTCAGAGTATAAATGTTAAATAACAGTTACTAATAATGATTTACCAGACTAGATTTTTACCAAAAATATTAGGGTAGGAAAAAAGTACTAAAAATTAATAACAGTGTTTATATGGGTAGCAGCACTGTAGGTGCTCATTTTCCATATTATCAAAATTTACAATTTACCATCAGGGAAGAAAGTAATTATAAACGATACTGTTTTACTAGGCTTAGTGGTCTGACAGAGAGTGATGGAACCATTTGGGCCTGGAATTGAACTCACTCCTGTGGCTTAACTTGCAGCCAAACAATAGACAGGCCTATGAAGTCAATCAATTATACTCCTTAGAACAATCAACCCTGGGTGATCAGAAGGGCAGCATTTGCACACGGAGAAAGCTCAGAGGGCAGGAATGCATAGGAAAGGAGGACACAGGCAAAAGAGAGTCACAGGGAGAAGTAGGAAGAGAGCTGTTACGTTGTGGAGATTGCAATCAGTGTCACAAAACAAAATGTGTATGAACTGTTGAATGGTAAATGAATTTGGTTTGTAAACTTTTACCCAGATCACCATTAAAATAAAATAAATAAAAATAAATGATACTGTTTTTGTTAGTTGCCGATGAGTCAATTGCAACTCATGATGACTCAAAGTGTGCACAGCAGAACTGCTCCATAGGGTTTCAAAGGCTGTGACTTTTCAGAAACAGATCAGGCCTGTCTTCCAAGGCACCTCTGAATGGGTTTGAAGTACCAACCTTTAGGTTAGTCGTCCAGTGTTTAATCATGGTGGCATCCAGGGACTCCATTTAACAAGATAAAATCATTTGATTGTCAGCTACAGGAAAAGGCAACTCACCATCCATGTGAAGGATTGCTTTAGACTTCAGATTACCTGAACTCAATGATAGTCTCACAACCTTTGGACACAAATGCTGTCCCCCCCACAATTTCCACCTCCCCTATTACCCATAACAGCTGTGATTACCAGCTCTTTTCCAGAAGAAGCACTATCTGGAAGGGAAATCAGAGTATCTTAGAAGATGAAACACACTTTTCACATAGGTATTAATTGTGGGTTAATTAATTGTGGGTTAATTAAAATTAATTAAAGTTGCCAAAATAAAGATAAGCCCAGAATTACAGTTTTGAGGAATCTATTGGGGTAAACCAACAAATATTTATGCCTTCAAGTAACTTAGAGCCTATGAGCCTAATGATGAGAAGAGGTGGGGTAAAGGGACCGGGGCATAAAAGGAGCCTAGGAAGGCAGACCTCCCATCCTTGTAGCATGTGAACTGCCCATTCCCTGAGCCCCAAGATCATGAAATCCAAACACTCTCAGCCCCCACTGTCCCTTTAGCCCCCAACATGTATGTAGTCTTTCCTTGGTGTACACACGTGCCTATTTCCATAGGACACATGAGAGTTTCCATCACACTAATTCTCCTTAGTATTTCAAGGTCTCTTAGGTCATTCGGGGTCTGGGATAGGCTACCTAATTCAGTGGGTGTAAAATAGGAATAGATGGATAGAATGCAACATATATTCTTGCTTCTGATCAGGGTCTATGAGAACTAATTCCTGCCAGAGAAAAGAGCCTTGAAAAAAAAAGGACATCTCCAGATTCTCTCTTATCTTCATGCCATTGTACATGCATGTTGTTCTCTTCTCCTTTCCCCTAGATCTGGCTAACCCGTACCCACCTTTAGGTCTCACCTGAGATGTCATCACATCCAAGAAGCCTATGGTGGCTAATAAACCAGATTAGGTACTTCTGTCATGTACTTCAACAGAACCCTGGATTTATAATACCGAAGTACTTATCTCATTTTACTGTGATTACCTATTTAATAAATGTTTATCCCACTAGCCCTTAAGTCTGCAAGGACAATTACCAAGTCTACCCCCAATGCCTGGTACAAAGCAGGTGCACAATAAAAAAGCTGACCTCAGTTAACCTCAACAGGAAACTCAGGGCTCAGGAGAGAACTGGCAAGGGGGCAACAATGTGCTACCATTTCTCAGGTACTATTAAACTGATCCAGGGCACAGTTCAATATTTTATAATCTCAGTTCAGATTTTAATAACTCTCAGCATGTACCACCACCTGCCAAATGCACATATACTCCTGCCAGGCTGGGATTCTTGCCATTGGAGGAATCTTTGCTTGGTCCATCTTATATGGAGCCTTTTCAACATCTCTGCCCTAGTCTTGGATTTACTGCAAAAGTGACCAAGAGCAGTTAGATATGGGTTGATGGGAACTCTCATCCAGAAATTACTTAGGCATCTAACCAATACCTACCATCCTCTTTTGAAGAAGGCCTGGCTGAAAATGCTCTTCCATTCATCAATCAATCAATCATGAGAAAGCAACTTTGTATGGATCTCCTCTTTTTGTACTGAACCGAGCTGGAGGGACAAAAACCTTGCTCTCAGGGAACATCTATCTTTTGTGGCATCTCACCACAAAGTGAACTAGTATGTCACAATAGTACAACTCTTACCCATAGAGTTAAACTCTGGTGTGAGTTCTATGATGCTGCATAAGGCCTGACCTGTGCCTAAATGTTTTCCTACACTCACTACATTCATAAGGCTTCTCACCAGTGTGGATTCTCTGGTGCTGAGTGAGGGCTGAACTCTGATTGAATGATTTCCCACATTCATTACATTCATAAGGTTTCTCTCCAGTGTGAATTCTTTTATGTTCAATAAGGACAGAGCTTCTACTAAAAGCCTTACCACACTCATTACATTCATAGCCTTTATCTCCAATATGAATTTTCTGATGCTGAATAAGGGCTGAGCTCCGGTTGAAGGCTTTCCCACATACACCACATTCATAAGGTTTCTCTCCAGTGTGAATTCTCTGATGCCTAATGAGCTCTAAGCTACCCCTGAAAGCTTTTCCACATTCACAACATTCATAGGGTTTTTCACCACTATGAATTCTCTGATGTCTAACAAGGTCTGAGCTCAAACTGAAGGCTTTACCACATTCTTTACATGCATATGGTTTCTCACCAGTATGAATTCTCTGATGTCTGATCAGCTTTGAGCTCTGTAAGAAAGCTTTCCCACAATCAAAGCACTCATAGAGCTTTTCTCCACTGTGAATTCTTTGTTGTGTAATAACATTTGAGTTCAGACTGAGATTTCCTTCACTCTGATTACATTCAAGAACAGTCTCTGCTGTGGGGATTTTCTTGTTGAAAGCTGCCAGGTTGAAATGTGTTTCCTGGGAAGGGAGCTGATTCAGTTTATTCCTTGCAACATTTTTCGTTTGTTTCTCAAAGTTGTCCAGACCTCCCAAAGCTTTTTCAACCATCTGTCCTGAAGGAGTTTTCCCAGGTAGTCTTCCTGGGGATATCAAGTCTGCTGATGTAACACATTCAATAATTTCTTGCTTTGCAGTCAACTTTCTGTTGGCCACCATTGTGTCTTCTAAAAACACAAATAGAAAATGTAAGTGTTATTTGCTCCTCAAGTGGAAGAAAGGAAACTGCTATTGCAGAAACAGAAAATAAACCAAATGAAACAAATACCTATTAGAAGGAAAACTCTTAAAACTGCCTTCCTAATCTCAAAGAATTTGGAGAAATATAGACTGGGGAAGAGCATGGTAGAGAGAAATGGTCAACAGAAAGTAAGTCAACAGAGAATGGAGAACAGGATGGTGAAGAGGGGGAGACATTAATTAGAGGAGGTGGTGATAAGTATTAGTACCAGTGAGAGACCAGAAAACTAGGAGAAATGCTGGATTAAATGACAAGATGCATTTTTAGGGACTAAGGGGAAGGAAAAGACGTGATGAGGTGTGATCAGGATAAAGATGCCACAAATCTTCAATCTGTGGTACTTCTAGCAAAGTAGGAGAGCAGAAGAAATTAGAAAACACTTTGAGAGTTGGTATTGGACAGAGGTAGTTGAGGTAGAAAGCATTAAGGCAATTGCAGATTCTAGCAGTTTCCAAGTGAGTCAAATTATTACAGGCAGAGTAAGACACAACTTGAGAAAAGGAATATTGTGGGTTACTGACTCATTCTGGCATCAGGTAGGAGTCTTATATGTTCACTTTTTTATGTGTAAATGGTCACTGGTGGCTGGAAACAATTTGCAGATTTGACTGCCCATAGTCAAACCTTCTGGATCTCACATAACATGCCTCTCATTTTCAAATGTCTAGTAACCGGTAACAGGAGATTATTAGATGATGGCTGATGCAACCTAAATTATTATAAGGAGGGGAATCTAAAGCACTGTTAAGTTACGCTAATCATCCCAAATCCCTCTCAATTTATTGTATGCATTTTACAGATCAGAAAACTGAGGCTCAGAGAGCCTATACTACCTATCTAAGGGCACAGAATTAATAATTGGTAGTTAGGATTCAAACAAAGATGTTTACCATCAAACTTGTGCTCTTTCCACTATGTTATTTGCTTTCTCTGTTGGAAGAAAAAGAACCCTAGTGGCACAAGGGTTAAGCACTAGGCTGCTAACTGAAAGATCGGCAGTTCAAACTCATCCAGCGTCTCCATGGTAGAAGACCTGGAGATCCGCTTCCATAAAGATAACAGCCAAGAAAACTAGGAGGCAGTTCTACTCTGTCATATGGGGTTGGTATGAGTCAAAGTCAACTCTATGGAACCTAATTATAATAACATTGGAAGACAACAGGGCCATAGCAACACTAAAATAAAAATAATTTAAGATAATTTTAGTTTGGCTTTTGATTATGTTTTTATATGAAAATAAATACTTTGATATCTATTTTTATATTCTTTGATTTCACAATACTTCAAACACAATAATAAAGCCTCACAGTAAGTACCTGACAAGAGCAGAAAGCTGCCTGGCTTTCCATTTCTCCATTCTTTACCAGAAATTAGAGATGGACCACACCATCTCTTAGATAGGGCTGAACAATAAAGTTCACATTACTCATAACTCTTAGATAGAAATTAAAATTGTACAAGACTGTGCTTATTCAAAAAGAGAATGCTTATGAAGAAATGTATAGGAATCCCAATGAACTAATGAGACATTTTCTGAAGTAGCCAATAGATCAAATTGTTGTTGCTGTTGTTATGTGCCATCGAGTCAAACCCGACTCATAGCAATCCCTCCTTGGGTTTCCGAGGCAGTATCAATACAGAAGTAGGATTGCCCAACCTTCCTTCCGAGGAGTGGCTGGTGGGTTTGAACCGCCAGCCATCTGGTTAGCAGGCAAGTGGCTTAGCCATTATGCTACATTATAGAGTGTAAATTTTAAAGCAGATAAATTGGCAATATAATTGTGCAGTGACAAAATTAGGGCTGTGAAAATATGAACAGAAATGTAACTTATAATTTAAAATACTTCTTAAAATTCTATATCTATGTGAAGTTAAATTATGAGACCAGAGAAATACGTTGACCTTACATATATACATCAGGAACTATCAAGGATTTTATATTTTCAACTATATATTATACAAAAAAAAAAATAGACTAAACTGTTAACTAAAGTAATCCTAAGGATGACAAGCAGAGATAAAAATAAGATAAAAAATGGTTACTTGAGTATGTACAATATTGGTCCAGAGGTAATCCAAATAACCTAATAAATGTTGTTGTTGTTGTTGTTAAGTGCCGTCGAGTCGTTTCTGACTCATAGCGACCCCATGCACAACAGAACGAAACACTGCCGAATCCCGCACCAGCCCCACAGTCCCTGCTGTACTTGAGCCCATCATCGCAGCCACCGTGTCAATCCATCTCGTTGAAGGCCTCCCCCTCTTTCGTTAACCTTTCCACCCTACCAAGCATGAAATCCTTCTCCAGGGAATGGTCCCTTCTTACCAAATGACCAAAATAGGTGAGATGAAATCTGGCCATTCTTGCTTCCAAGGAGCATTCTGGCTGCACTTCCTCCAGGACAGATCTGTTAGTTCTTTTAGCAGTCCA